TATAATACCTTGACATTGTACAACATTTCATGAATACATGATTATATAACTTTAAAAAAAAAAAAACACCCAAATGACCGAAGAGACCTAAAAGTTACACGTTTAATAAAAAAGTTTTGATGATCCACAATAAAAATATTGTTAACCACAGTATAACCCCAAACATGTTTTCCCCAATCTATGAGCAAGCAAGCAAAAGAGAAACATCCTGCCTCACACTGTTTATACTATTTTATTTAAAGATAAATCCAGTTTAGCATAATAATAATTATTGGTATTCTTCTAGATATCATGTTTCTTCAGGGACATTTTTTTTTTTTTAATTTATCTATCCATTCTAGAAAGAGAGAAAGAGTGAGAGCTGAGAGGGGCATAGGGAGAGGGAGAGAGAGAGAGAATCCCTAAGCAGACTCTCCACTGAATGCAGAACCCATTCCACACCCCCAAGACCACAACCCCAGCTGAAACCAAGAGTCGGATGCTCAACCGACTGTTCCACCCAGGTGCCCCTTCAGGGACATTTAAAGAACCTTCCATAGTGTGTTCTATATACCATAGGAAAAGAAAAGTTATTATCAAGCATGTCCTGTGATGGGTACAATAATAACAATAGTTTCCTGAGTCTATGTAAGCAATTTCTTCTTTTAGGGCGCCTGGGTGGCTCAGTCGTTAAGCGTCTGCCTTCGGCTCAGGTCATGATCCCAGGGTCCTGGGATCGAGTCCCACATCGGGCTCCCTGCTCGGCAGGAAGCCTGCTTCTCCCTCTCCCACTCCCCCTGCTTGTGTTCCTGCTCTCGCTGTCTCTCTCTCTGTCAAATAAATAAATAAAAATCTTTATAAAAAAAAAAAAGAAAAAAGGGGAAAAAGGAAAAAAGGAAGAAAAAGAAAATTTAAAAAAGAAGAAGAGAGAAAAAGGACATTTGAATCTGCATCTATCACTGCATCCTGAATGGTGAAGAATGAGGTGAGGCCCCATGCTTACAGACAGCTAAAAAACTAAAACATATTAATTCTTGCAACGTGTCAAATATCTGCCCCTCAAATAAATAAAATGAAAGTAACTTTATTAACTATATGCTATATTGAAACTGAGATAATATTCTCTGTATTATTATTGGGTGATATTTTATCCTAGAACTTATAATAAAAAAAGAGATGGAGAGATTTCTCTAAACCTAAAGATGTAAAATGAGAAATAGAAGCCTGCGTATCTTGTTTTCATCTCTGGTTCTGAGTAATAGGCAATTTTTAGAAAATGTGGTTCCCACATCCACCTTGCTCCTGAGAATGGATACAATTTTGAAAAAGGGAAAAATGTCGTGAGCTGTTGATATACGTATCAAGAATGCCCTAGAAGATATCTGAACATAGTACAAGTTTTGATCTTATAAACACAAGTGGAGCACAATGTTTTTAGTGGAATATCTTTTAGCTCATCAGTATGGACACAGTTGGGTTTGCTCAGGTAAACACATGTGCAGACAGGTTGTCAGGAGGTTAAGGCAAATAGCACAACGAGAGGAGGGGAGGAATTTCTTAGCATTTGGCTCTGTAGCACCAAGCAATGTATGGTATGGTATTTACAGCTCTAGCTTGTGGGAAAAATGGATTTTAGTTCCAGATGTATTTGTAAGTCACTTGGAAGCTATCTCTTTGATTTACTTCCCCAAATGCTGCACTCTTTATTCACAGAAACGGAGTATTTTTTCAGTTCCTAATTATCTGCTTGGCAGGAAGTGAGACATTATGAAGGTTTGGTAAGTTGTATAGATGGAATGAGTTTTACCTCAGGTCCTTGATACTCTAAGATAATTGCCACCATGTTTTCCTCTGTTGGGTGGAGACTAAGTCCAAGAACGCGAACTTGTCAAAAGAAGTTTTTGTCTGGTCTACACTGAACTATGATCACTGTGACTGGAATAGAGAGAGACTACTAGTAACTGACTCTAAATCTAGAAATAACTGTCTTTTCAGGTCTAGAGGAGGAGTCTCCATTTCAAAGCACTTACTATAGGTTATTGGTAAAATCAATTTTACTTCTGTTGGGGAACTTGCTGAAAAACATAATGCTAAGCAACAGAATAGTTAGAGTTGGTTCTTCTAAAGAAATAGTAAATGGCCCGAAGATTATAAGAGAGGCTAGAGAAAATGACAACTATAAAAATAAGTGAAGTGTCCTAAGTCAGTTGGTTAGAAGCCAGGACTAAAGCAAAGAATTCTAGGATTGATGTTTCTTTCTCACTGGGGAAAGGGGTGTCAGTGATCTCAGAGAGCCACAAAATAGTACTAATTGCATTAATAATGACAGATATTCAAACACCTGCACCTCACTGCTTGAAATGTCTTAGGATTAGGCTGTTATTTTGAAGAGTAAGATTACTGAATTAAACCAGGGTTATCACTCTACAAGCTCTTAGCATCCCAGGATTATGCTGACAAGTCTAATAGCAGGGATAACTTTTCAAACATCTTAGGAACTGGCCAAGTAGACAGTGAACAAACATGCTATTTTCATGAAATGAATATTTATTGAGCACCCACTATGAGCCAGGCCTTCTTTTAGGCACAGAGATGCAGGTAAGATCCTTGCTCTGATGGAGCTTACCTTCTAATATTAAACAGCATCTCACTGGTAGGCAGTGGAAGAGCACAGGGTGCTTTGAAAAGGAAGAATTAAGTCATGGAAAAAATTTAAATCTAGGTTGGGGGAAGGAAACTGATTTTGAGATGCTTGATGGGAAGCCATTGGGCCCTATGAACCGAGGACTAAATAGAAGGGAAAAAGTACTTTAGATGCAACCAATTAATGTAAATCTGGCATCTGAACTATAAAAATCTGGTTGCTCTTTGTCAGTCAACCAAGGCACAATTTAGGTGGCATCAATTCAATGAGCTTATTACTAATCTCTTACAGGAATCAATAAACATTTACTTTTTAACCAACCCCTGAGTGACTTGCTATTACCACCAGTTATTCTGTTAGACTGGTGACTGTTTAAAAAGGTGTGAACAAAAATATTTTACCTGCGTAGAGAGTCTTGGCCCTGCAACTTTTAGGACTTTCTCAGGTTGCCAATTCATTGGTTCTAATTGCGCTTTTTGATTTTAAAGTTTGTTCTCTGCAGTAAGCTACGAAGCTGTACTCTGATAATACATAATAAGGGTATTATGTATCATTCTCTGTGGTCATAATAAAATCAAGTTCACTATCAGCCCAGACAAGAACATGCCATTGTTCTTACAGGATGTCCAGCCTTATCCGATGTTCCAATAGACTTCTACATGATAGTTTCAATTTACAAAATCAACCCACTCTCCAGTTCATAGCAACAGCAGTTTCATGCTCTGAAAAAACACTTAGAAGTTGCGGTAGTTTCATTTATGCTTAACTGGAGAGACTTGCTACCTATTTCTTGGGAAGAGGGGTCTATCCCAGTTATTCTGTAACAGGCTGGAAGAAAAAAAAAGAGAGAGATCTTGTATTAAAAATTTTTTTTAACTACAAAAGTAATGTGTTCCTGACAGAAAAATCAGAAACTAGAACTATGCAGGAAAAATCACCCACACTTCACCAATCACTGAGAGATCTAGTTAATAACTGTCCCAGTGTTTATCTGTCCAGTCTTTTCCACCTCTCCCCGTTCATCACAGTTTAAGAAAATGAGATCATACGGTACACAGTATTTTGTGATTTGTCTCCTTGCCCCCTTAAGAACCATCATGTTGTTTCATGTCATCCTACATATCCTAATGACTGTGTATATGTAATAGTATGTAATTAACTTTATTCAAGGGCATAGAAGGCAGTAGATTTTTCCTTATTAATTTAATAGTGTCCCCGCTGCCCCTTCCCTACAGCCGTTCTCAAACCCTAAGTGACCTCTGACCAATTTCAGTGTCGCATGTGCAACACGTGCAGAGAGAGGGACAGCCAGCTGCCGGCTCCCGCCGACGGCGTCAGGGCAGGACTCCACAGCCCGCCACTGTCCTCTCTTCGGAACCACGCCGCTCGCTCAAGGGTGGCCAGTGGCCCGCGGGGAGCGCTCTGCGGCCCCAGGGGCCCCATTCCATAGACGCCGTGTCCCCTCTTCTCCCTCTCTAATCTCCCTCTCAGATGACCCCGAGTCCGGGGGAGCCGGGGTCACTCTGCGCCCTCTTCTTCTCACGACAGCGCGGCCACCGCGTCGCCTCCCCTCGCGCACCCTCCCAGCACCAGGCCACCGGGTAGAGACCCAGAAGGGGCCCTCGCTGGCCCAGCCCGGGTGCCGCACGGCGCCGCTGCTGGACTAGAGCCGCGCGGGGCCGCGCCGTCCCCGAGTGATGACGCGCTTCCTGCCCTCCCGGCGCTCGCGGGCCGTGCGCTCGCGCTCGCCCTCGGCTCTTGTTCCGCGCCCGGAGCCAGCGGCGGCGGCAGCGGCTGAGGCGGCTGCGGGAGCGGAGCGGTCGCCGGGCGCGCGGGGGGACGCCGGCTGCACTCCGGGGCAGGCGCTCTGCAATGAGACAGTAAATGCATCCCCCGGTAAGGCGCACGGCTCACTCGGGTTTTCCTCTTCCTCCAGCTGCATGCACGTTGCATGAATTTCTCGTGTCTTTTCCCTCCCCTTTACAGAAGGAAAATGTGGGTGGTTTTTTCCTCCCTTTTGCATCTCGTGAGTGATGCCAATGCAGAAAAAAACCTGCAAAGCTCCCAGATTTGATATCCTAGGAGGGCTTTTTGCAATAATAATAAATAAAATAAAATAAAATAAATTTAATGCACCTGTCTATTGCACATGTATGTTTCACTGCACTCGACCTGGGCGCAGCGGTTTGCAACCAGGCTGGCAGCCGGCGCCTGAGAGCGGATTCCTGGCCGGGGGCGGCTAGCCAGTCCCCTCCGGGGCTCCCGCTGGGTTTCCGGTAACTGGGCTTTGAAAAGCGGCCCCGCCTGCATGGAGTGTCCCCTCGGCCCCGGCCGGGCCCCCGCGCCAGGAGAGTTGGCGCGGTCGAAGCGGCTTCATTCCAGCATTGGCCGCCCCGACTCCAGCGCCACTTTGCAAACAAGTCTTCGGCCGAGGCTCGAGGCGAAGACAGCCCGCCGGTGCGGAGCTCGTCCAGTCCCGGACTCTCAGACCTGCCGATTCTACGACTCCCCTTGGCAGTCTCGCCACCAGCAAAACTGCTGGCTGCTGAGGGACCTGGGCAGCGCCCGCCCGAATGCGAGAGCAGGATTTGGATTTAGTGCCGCTGGCCTCGGACTGGACGAGCGGCGCCCTTTCCTTCCTCGGCCCCGCAAGCTACAATTTCGCGCTCACTGGGAGCCGGGGGGCTCCTGGGGACTGGGCATTTCGGGATTCCCTGAGGGGACCGAGGAACGACGTTCGAGGGCGCCATATTTTCAGTGGGTCTTGGCTGCGGAGGGAGGGGGCGTACAGTTTCTGGGGCCCGGGGGGTAGCGCGGCGCCCCCGCAGGAGAGGCGGGAGGGGTTTTCGCCAGGAAAGTTTGCGCGCCGAGGGAGGCGCGGAGGCGGCCGCGCAGAGCGCGCACGGAGGCTGTTCCCGCAGGGTCGCGCGGGTTGCAGCGCGTCGGCCGGCTGGCCGGCCCGGCCCGGGTGGAGGGCCCAGAGCCGCCGTCAGGGGCTGCGCGCCCGGCTCGCCCCTGCTCCCTGTCCCGCTGAGATGCCGCGTGCAGGCTCCGAGGCGCAGGGAACACGCCCCTCTCCCCCGCCGCCGCGGCTGCCCGGGCGCTCCGCCGGAGCCGTGCGCTTGGCGGCGTCCCCCGGCCGGGCGCCTGGTGCAGAGCGTGCTCCCGGCGCCGGGCTTCGCCTGGGCGCTCGCACCGCGCGGGGGCTCTGTCCCTGCGGGAGAGGAGGCGAGCCGGCTAGCGGTCCGGGCCGAGGGCCTGGCCTGCGGTCGCCCCGGGGCCGAGGAGCGGCCCGAGCCTCCCCTCGCCTCCTTGGCTGCGGCGGCGACAGCAGCAGCGCCGGCGGCTGCGTGCTCGGCTTTCGCCGCGATGCCTGCTCTTGGAGGCGAGGTTGGGGGGGGGGGGGGGCGTTTCCAGAAGTTGGGGCTTCAGGTGACGCGTGGGGGAAACTTGAATTTGTGCCGCTCGTGAAGAGTCGAGGTGATTAGGGGAAAGGGAGTTGTTTCAGAATCCCTGCGTCTCGTGGTGAAAACTAACCTCCGATTATTTCCAGAAGACGAGAGAAGCGTGAGCTGCTGAGGTGTTTGGCGTTGTCCAAGACACAAAGAGGAGGGCAGGGATGACGTCCCGAGAAATGGGCCCCCAGATGTACATAAATTACAGGCACGCTGGTGCTCCACCGCGTACTTTGGCTTTAATAGCACCTGGGTGTGCTGAGTTGGTGGCATTCGTCAGGTTGCGCGCTATCCTCCTCCCTTCTCCAGAGCTTGGAGTTGGCGACTTCGCAGGAGTGGGGCTGTGGGCATTCTTTTCTTTTGAAATACAGTAGATTGCGATCTCTGCTTTGTGGAGGGGCAGAGGAAGGGCGTGTTTGCTGACCTACAATCAGCTGAATGCAGAAACATGCCAGCCTTTCTCCTTGGCGTCTTATTGAAACGATGCCATAGTATTGAGGTCATGTCAGCACTTTGGGGCTTCATCATTGGAGAGGCTTCAAGGGATCACAGAAAAAGGCAGGTGGGGGTGTGTGAAGCTTTCATCAGGGATGCGCCCTGTGAGGTCAGGGATTAGGCTGCTCCTTCGCTAGTCCTCTTCATTAAGTTCCTCCAGTGTGGATGTCAGCGTTGCGTTTCAAGATTTATCTTCCGTGTTTGCTGATTTGGGATATCTATGCAAACACTGTGGAGGGGTGGTGGATGTGACAAGTGGCCTTGAGGGTTACCTGCACGAATGCTCTCTTTCTTTCTTTTTTTCTTTGAGCCCTGGAATTGTGGAAAACACCCAGAGCCCAAGATACACTTATCCAAAATTAGCATAACCAGTTTAGGAGAGAATAAAGTCAGTTGCAGAAAACCATCTATTTTGTCAAGTTCCTAGTCTTAGTGGTGGTACCTTGAATCACAGAAACACAGGGCTCTTCAGATTGGGGAAGTCACTGATTTTTCTCTGCCTTTGTACTCAGGTTATCAAGGAGATACAAAAGAGTTTTAATTAAAGTCTTTTTTGACGTTGATGTTGTGGTTCTACCTGCAAACGGAAAACAAATTTTTACAATTATTCTGTTAAATGAGCTACTGCGGATACTCTTTACAGGCTTAGGCTTATAGGTGTGTCTTGAATTCACTTACTGCTAAACCTACTTGTTTAGGGTTTTTCAAACCAAACACTTTCTTTCCTAGAGTATTTTCACCGGAAGTCAGGTTTTGCAAAGAGGTGTGTGTGTGTGTGAGTGATGGGGGGAGATGGAGATTTCTAGTCCAGTTTCTGTGTTTTGTACCTAAAAATTATTCCGATTCCCCTTTACCTCCACTCCTCACTCCCAGCAGATTATTAGTTCCCAAGACCAGTTAAGGGTGGTTACAGATGGTGAACAATCTAAATTTTTACCAACTATGCTTAGAAAAAAAAAAAAACTATACATCTAAAAATGTATTTATTCATTTTAGCATTATGCTTTGCAACTACATATATGTTACATACTGTGTGCATGTGCTAAATGTTATATGATAAAAATTAAATTTAAAAAATAGAAGTTTTCTTAATAAAGCTGAAATAAAAAATTAAAAAAGTTGCAAATCCTTCAGTCTTCATTCCCAAGTTTACTCCTTTCATATTTATCAATTTCTTATGCCTCTCTTAAAGTGTTATAAATTGTGCTTTGTTGCTTCTTGCCTGATTCATATTATAACTTTGTGACTTGATCGAAGTTCCTGCATTTTTGTTGTTGTTGTTGTTAAGAAGATTTTATAACTTCAAAAGGTTAGAAAACGCCTGTGCATTTTGGAGAGTTGCCTGTCCATTTACCTGGCTGTGTGGTGTGTGTGTTGTGGTGTGTGTGCGCGTGTCCACACTCTTGGGACAGTGTCAGAAACTTGTGACATTATTGATTCAGAACTTCTGAGTCAGAATGATTTCTTGGAGACTTTGGGTGGTGTTTGGCCAATACAGGAAGTACTAAAAAATAGTTAAATAATTCAAAGTCATTTTTATTGGGTACAAAAATGTTTTAAAGAAGGAGAATGTAATAAGCAGGGCCAGAATTACAGCTTAACATACCCAACTGGTGCCTTTTTAATTACAGTACTTTCCCCCAGAACTTCTTAATCCTATTACTTTTATATTTAATAAGGAGACTAGTTAAAACATAAGCCGAACAGAACTATTACAAATAATGGGGATAAATGGTGGGTTTAACCAGATGTTTTGCCTAAAGTAAAAGAGTTAAGGAATCTGAACTCTGTCGAACTCCCCCTGTAGGCCCCCTCCACATGCCCCCTTCTCAATAAGCAGGGGATTTTAAAAGGCAAAAAATCTTGGAGGGGGTGGAGACAAAAAACTAAAAAAGAAATGAAATGCTTAAGGTAGGCTTCTCCTGTCCGTCACCATCCTAACAACCTTTGGCTCTGTAGCAGGTGCCATTTGAATGACAGCTGGTAGACAAGGCTGGGTACAAAATGCTTTGGTTGTGAGAGCCTTTCTTTATGTGTCACCCGGAACTATGAATTAAGACTGGGCTCATTTGCCACCCATTTCACAGTGGATTTTCAGAGTCAATGCCAAGAACATGGTTTTGTTTTTCCCTTAACCAACAATTTAATTTCAGCCAAAGTGATGCTGTTCTGAATTTGTAGGAAAAGTAATGAATATTTGTATTTCCTTTTTACTCTTCTTGCTGCAATCTTAACAAAATTCTTTAAAGTCTCCTATTCACTTACTCAGCAATTGTTTTGAGGGCTTACCATGTGCTTCATGCTAAGAAGACATCCCCTGCCCTAACCTCACATGCTGAGTTCCTAGGGGGTGATATTCATTTGTACTTTACATATCTAATAGATGGGGTAGGGAGGGAATGAGTGTGTGATTAAATAGTCTTTAAAGGACAACATAATAGAAAGATGAACAAAGGATATGAACAGTGTTCCCAGAAGAAGAGATATACATGGTCAATAAACATGTGAAAAGATTCTTAACCTCCACAATGGTCAGGGAAATGCAAATTCAAAACAGTACTTTTCTGTCCATCCAGTTGACCCACTTTTTAAAAAATTGGTAACATCTTCTGTTAGATGTGTTGGGGGGCAACTCGCAGACTCTCGGGTGGGAGTATGAATTGCTGTAAGATTTAAGGAAAGCAGACAATTTATTTCTAAGTTTAGAACCTGCTACCATATGCCCCAGCAATCCCATATTTGGAGTCCTGTCTTACAGAAAGAAAAACATCAGCATGCAAGGATCTGTGCATGAAGATGTTTATTGTAGGATTATTAAAGTAAATAAATGAGAAGCAACATGAAATGTCCATCAGTAGGATGAATAAGATAGGGTTTATTTTGGATTATTTTGCAAGGGATATCCATGATATAAAATGTAAATAAAATCAAGTTACAGAGTGTCATATGTAGTACGATCCTATTTCTGATTTAAAAAAGAAGTCCTGGGGCGCTTGGGTGGCTCAGATGGTTAAGCGTCTGCCTTTGGCTCAGGTCATGATCCCAGGGTCCTGGGATCGAGCCCCACATCGGGCTCCTGGCTCAGCGGGGAGTCCGCTTCTCCCTCTCCCTCTGCTTCTCCCACTGCTCATGCTCTCTCTCTATATATATCTCTGTCTCAAATGAATAAATAAAATCTTTAAAAAAAAAAAAAAAGAAGTCCTATGTGTATAACCTTGGAGAAAGATGTGGAAGGACACACAAAACTTGAGATTGTTTAAAATTGGCAGTGAGAAGGGGGGTGTGATTAACTTGCTCCATATACACCTTGATTGGTTTAGTTGCTCAAACACAGAAAGCTTTTCTATATGGAAACACTTTAAAATGGTATTTGGGGGGGCGCCTGGGTGGCTCAGTCGTTAAGCGTCTGCCTTCAGCTCAGGTCATGATCTCAGGGTCCTGGGATCGAGCCCCGCATCGGGCTCCCTGCTCAGCAGGAGGCCTGCTTCTCCGTCTCCCACTGCCCCCTGCTTGTGTTCCCTCTCTCGCTGTGTCTCTGTCAAATAAATAAATGAAAAATCTTTAAAAAAAAAAAATGGTATTTGGTTCATGAATACGAAATTTGTTTGGGACCATTTTGGAAACAAAAGGTGAGCAATATCACAGTTGCTTTCTCTGATGCCTTCTGCAGCAATCTTTTCTCTCTTCGGAAACTTTGAGTTAATTATCTTCTGACATCCTGAGATTTCCCAATTTTGAGTTAAGGCCTTCATTGTAAAAGATGGCTTCAGGAAAAGCTGTTTACCTTTATCCCCCAGGAGAGTAATG